CCATTTAAAAAATAGAAAAAATTAATATATATATATATATAGAGAGAGAGAGAGAGAGAGATATGAGAAAATCTTTGGGACTCTCATCAGGCAAAGATTTCCTAGATACAACATTAAATGCACAACCCATAAAAGAAAAAAAATAGATTGGAATTCTTCAAAATTTAAAAATTTTGCTCTTCTAGAGACACCGTTAAAAGAATGAAAAGACGAACCAAAAATTGGGGGGAAAATATTTGCAAATTGTACATCTAACAAAGAACTGTAATTAGAATAAATAAAGAACTCTCAATACGCAATAATAAGAAAATAAACAACCTCATTTTAAAAATGGGGGAAAGATTTGAAAAGACACTTCACCAAAGAAGATATACAAATGGAAAATAAGTACATGAAAAGGTGTTCAGGATGATTCGTCATCAGGGAGATGCAAATTAAAACCACTACACATTTATTAGATGGCTAAAATTAAAAAGACTGACCATGCCAAGTGCTGTCCAGGCTGTGGAGCAAGTAGAACTCTCATGCACTGCTGGTGGGAACGTAAAGTGGTAAAAATCACTTTGGAAAATAATTTGAAAGTTTCTTAAAAAGTTAAATATACACCTAGCATACAACCCATACATTCCACTCTTAGGCATCTGCCTGCTACAGATGAAGGCATATGTACACAACGGCTTGTACATGAATGTTCACAGTAGCTTTATTTGTAATAGACAAAATTTGGAAACAAGCCAAATGTCCATCAACAGGTGAAGAGATAAACATATTGTGGTCTATCCATACAATGGAATATTCTTCAGTAATAAAAAGGATAAACTATTGATACGCACAACGACATGGATAAACTCAAAACAATTATGCTGAGTGAAAGAAGCCAAGCCAAAAAAAAAGAGTACATACTATATGATTCCATTTAGATACAACTCTAGAAAATGTAAATTAATCTCCAGTGATTGAAACAGATCTTGGTTGCCTGGGGATGGGGTTGGGGCAGAGAGAGGAGGGATGGACCAAGGGACAGGAGGAAAGTTTGGGGTGATGCATATTTTATTTTCTTGACTGTGGTGATGGTTCCATGCATGTATGCAGATGGGTCAAAACTCATCAAAGGGCACATTTTAAATATGTGCTGTTTATTGTATGTCAACTATACCTCAATAAAGCTGTCAAAAATATTAATTTTTAAAAAGGAGAAACAAACACAGCCAGGAATCTGCCTACCTCTCACAGCAACACTGGGGCCACCCTGGCCATCGCTGCCACCACCTGTCCTCTGAATTACCTCAGCCACTGCCTCACTGGTCTCCTAGCTCCTGTCTGGCCCCTCAGGCCATTCTCAGGCCCCCTCCCTCACTGCTCCTGTCCCTCCAACGCCCCAGGCAAGCTCCCACCTTAGGGCCTGTGCCCTGACTGCTCCCTCTGTCTGGAATGTTCTTTCCCAGATACCCATATGCCCAACTACCCACAAAAGCTCAGGTCTTCATTCAGTGAGGCCAGTCTTAATCACGCTGCTTAAAACTGTGAGCCACCCTTCCCTCTACTCCTGACACCCCTTGCCCCACTTGACTTCCATATACAGTTAACTTATGGGGGTTTGTTTGTTTCCCTCAACTGGAGTCTGCACTTGCATTATAGTTCACTGATGTAGTTTGGGGGCCCCTAGAAAGTGTTCCATAAATGTTTGCTAAAGGAATCATTGTGTACCAGGGGTTCTAAGCACTTTTCCTAGATCACAATAACCTCCAGGAGGGGGTGCTATAATTCTCCCTCACTTTACAGATGTGGAAACTGAGGCACAGGGAGGCTAAGCACGCCCAGGATTATGCCATGCTTTTAACCAGCGGGCTCTGCCACCTCCTCCCCAGGGACTGGGTCACCCGCTTACAGCTTCTGATGTCTACAACCCGATTCCTCCCAGCTACTGGGGGCCAGGCCCTGTCCCTACCCCGATTCCAGAGGTTGAACCGAATCTTATAACAAGAAGAACCCTTCCTAGATTCCTCTGGGTGTTCTCTCTGCCTTGGTCCAAGAGGAATGTGAGGGAGACCAGAAGGGTCCATAATTAATCAATGGTTTCATTAAAAAGCGGGCAGGGGAGTTAGCGAGAGAAAGAGAGAGAGAGACAAGTGGGAATGTGGACGGGGCCCTAAAGGGAAGTTGGTGACTGTGGACCACAGTCTGAGTGGGGCTCTGCATCCTGCCGGCAGGTCCCAGGGAGGCTGACAGTGCTGTGGCTCACAACATCCTCAGGACAGAAATCGGCCTGGGCTAGGACCAGTTTGAGCCCCGCTTCTCCCGCACTCAGGCATTCGTGTATTCACTATTCATTATTCTGCAAGTCTTTATGGGGCCTGCTGCTTGTGTGCAAGGCCCCTGTAAGGGGCAGAGCGCCTCAGGCCCACCTTCCTGGGAACCCGG